GTGCCCATTCAGAATCAGATGTTGTTTATCCATGTTGATACTGAGCCTGATCTGGCCGAGCTCGCCGCTATTTTGCATCTTGAGGATTCAGAGTTAAATGGGAATATAATCTAAAGACTGGGGATATATGGTTTTCCTTTGCCTTTCTTGATTGAGAAAGCTCGGCAGTACGCTAAGGATGGTTGTTGGATTGTGTTTAGCACCATCCTAGCTCTTTGTATATATGGCATTGTCTTGTTTCCTAACCTTCCGGACTTCGTAGATGTGGATGCGTTCCATATTCTGGCTTCATAAAATCCAGTGCCTACTCTTCTTGGCGATGTTTATCATTCTGTTCACTACAAGAATGAGAAACAAAGAGGAAAGAATGTAGTTTGGTGTGTTCCTCTGTTGAATGCTTGGTTTGTCAGTCATATGCCCAAGACAAGTTCGTTTGTTGTCACTGCTAGTACTTCAGAATGGTCAGAGAGGTTGATGGGTCTATCTGCAGAGAACATTATTTGATTTGACCGAGATATGCTTGGTACGGATATTATTTATAGTTGCGGTGGATTTTCTAACGTCCCTTTGGTCGGAAGGAAAGGTTGCATCAACTATAACCCTTCTTTATTGGTCAGGCAGTTTGGGTATGCGCTGAGGGAGCCTCCTAGGGAAGAGGAGATACAGGAATCTTTGTATCTCACTGATTTATTGGAGGGTAATGAAGGTGAGAAAATACTTAGAAGGGGGGTTGAATAAGGATTTAGAAAATATTAATGGCATTAAAAACACAATGATTTTTATACTGGTTCGTTGAACTCAACTAATCCAGTCCACCCTATCAAGAGTGATTTGCCTTTCTCCACAAGGACTTAATCTACTATAATCAAACTGATTACAATATCAACCACTAAGAAAAATTGTCTTAGTCTTCTCAAGAACTACTGATCACAACTTGGTCTTCTCAAGGAACTTTTACAATCAAATGTAAACTAAAACAAGTGTATGAATGCTTCTAAGTAAGCTATATCACAACTGTGATTTACACTTAAGTTTAAGAACAAATGAAAACTATTTAGCAAAGAATAATAATTTGTATGAGAGCTTAGAGAGAGTTTTCAATGAATTGTTCAATTTTCGTCAACTAAAGAAAATTGTTGAAGGCTTGCTTTTATAGACTTAGAAATCTAAGACGTTGCAAGCTTGAAGACCGTGTACTGCAAAGTAGTTGTAGCCTTTTGTCTTCACATCACTTGACCATTCCTAGAAGTAGAACGTTCAGAGAAATCCTTTTTGCCTGAGTTCTTGTGTCTAGCATAAAAGAGGAAAGAGTCGTTTGACATAACCAACGGATATAACTTTGAATAATCTTCTTCAACAAGTTTCTAATTCACAGCAATTAACATCAGAGCCTTGAGGGATCAGAGTCTGGATGTCTTCAGAGTTTGCTGTATCAGAGTATTGCAGCAATTGTGCTTTGGTGTGTAATTAATCAGAGTAGAGTTTGGAGATCAAATCCTCAGTACTTGCAGCGAACAGTACTATCAGAGTCTTCTGAAAAACAGTGCTTGAAACTCTTCATACAAAGTCTTCAGTCTATGCTTCAGATGCTTCTGTAGCTTCTGCTTCATATCCTTCTGTAGGCAGCGCTCAGAGTCTTCTGTAGGCAGCGGTCAGAGTCTTCTAATTAGATGCTTCTGAAACTTCAGAGCCTTGCGTAGTTCAACGTTCAGATCCATTTTTGCTTTCAGAAGAATATTAAATTTAATATCTGCAGCAAAAATACTTGAACAAATTTAGAGTATATAATTTCTTAATACAAAATTTCATAAGTGTTATCATCAAAACATAGAGATATAACTAAGAACCAATTTGTGTTTTAACAACCCCCACACTCTAAAATAAATTATATTTTGCGCTCTGCCTTTCCATACCACATATGGAGAAATATTATTTTTTTTCTTCAATTTTTTTTACTCATTATATGACATGAGGGCTTTGTGACATAACATGTCATTCTTCCATTGTTAATAAAATATTTAACAATAATCATTTTACTTTGAAGTTACACTTCTATTTGAATATATCTAAAATATATTCAATGTATTAAATATTTATAGCAATCAACAACCATGATCATAACTTTTATTTTATAAAGAGGTTTAAAATATAAAAAGTCATATACATCATATTAACTAACACTCGTTTATTTATATTATCTTAAAATAAGTATTTTATTGTATAACTAACATATGTATAATGAATTATATTTCTTAACTTCATGTCTAACAATGTACTATATTATATCTATATAAGAATCACATTAGAAAATAAACAATGAACCAAAATCATTAATATTTTCTATAACTTTTTTCATAAACATTTGTCAACTTTCAATAATAAAGAAAATGTACAAATTACTTTAATATCAAGATGATCAATAAACAACTTTTTCATATCAGCATGCACATATAATATGAGATAAGTAATTTTAAATTTAATAAATTATTGCACAAACAACAATACAATTGAAACATGTCCTTGAAATTATTATTATTATTATTATATTATTACTTTATTTTTAAAAAATTATTTTATCCACAAATAAATGCATTATCCATCTTATGACATTTTAACTATTAATTATAAGTTAATATAATTTTCTTATAGAAGGAGACACAAACAAATATCAAAATAACAATTGAAGTCAAAGAATTAATTTATGTTAATAGTACATGCAAATTGTTTTCTCATGAATATATGATATGTTTATCGTCCACTTGTTTTTATTCATTTTTTAATGCATTAAACATATTAATTAACAACATCTCAATATATTTAATATCAATATCAATTTGTATAGAAAATAATTAATAACCAACAAAAGTTATTTGCATAAAAAAGTAATCTAATATCACATGTTAAATATGTATTATGATTATGAAAAAACAAACATGGATATTTATTTTTCCATAAAAAATTGCATCCACAAATTAATCACAAAAAATCATAAATTAAAATTTTATAAATTTTAATATATTATATGAATTAATTGTGTATCTTTCAGCATCACAGAGAATTGCCATCAAAATTTTAAAATAGTAACCTTTAATATTAATCACAAATAAAAGATCTTCATGGCAATTAGGAGGAAGAAGATCTTGTCTTGGTTCATTACTTTGATACTTGAAACATAAGTCTCGGTTGCCATTATATGAACTACTTGTAAAATTATTAGAAAATTTATTTAAATCTAATAGATTGATGTTAGAATCGTGAACAAAACCACTTTTCTTATAAGTATTTCAAGCACTCTCAAATGTCTTAAAGTTGAAACATACGAATACTCAGGATAATTCAACTTATGTATAAGTTTGTATAAGACCGATGAAAACTCGAATGTAGGGAAGATGAAATCTAAAATTTGTGCGAAGAGGATAGGTTTTGTGTTATATTTTTCTAAAATGCTCAATTTAATCAAATGTTGCACTGTTTTGTCTACAACAATTTTATCAAATGTTGCATTATTAAACCGCACCCATTTAATTGTTAATAGTTTAGCACACATCATACTAAACCGCACCAACTCTTGAATTACCATTCACTGCACGTATTTCAACATCATCATTTGCAACATAATTAAATTCTTTACCTGGAATTATTCCATATGACTGTCGCATCAGAGCCACATGCTTTCTTATAGCGCTGATATTATGGGTTTTTTCACTCATCTACCCCAATTTGAAATTAAAAATCTCATAATACCCCACTCTGAAAAATATTTACGAATCTATCCCACTTTTAGTGTGGGTTCGTCCATTCAGTTGACGAACTTATGAAGGAAATTTGGTTCAAGAGTGAGCTCGTCCATCCAATGGACGAGCATGTGAAAGACCAATTTTTTTTTCTGTTTTATTTAAATTAATAATTTACTAATTAATAATTTACTATAAATAATAATTCATATTTTATAAGTTACTGTAAATACTATAAACAAAATACATTTCACTTATCTCAAGTTATTTATAGTATTTAAAAATACTAATTATTCTTTATGATATTTTTAAATACTATAAATAACTTGAGATAAATGAAATGTATTTTGTTTATAGTATTTATAGTAACTTATAAAATATGAATTATTATTTATAGTAAATTATTAATTAGTAAATCATTAATTTAAATAAAACAAAAAAAAATTGGTCTTTCACATTCCCTCTTGAATCAAATTCCCTTCATAAGTTCATCAACTGAATGACGAATCCACACTGAAGGTGGGATAGATTCGTAAATATTTTTTAGGGTGGAGTATTATGAAATTTTTAATTTCAAATTGGGGTACAATAGTGAAAAAACCGATATTATGCAAACCAGGCTTTGCGTAACATAATTAATGGGATAGATTAATATATCATAATCCATCGCTAGAACAGATGGATCAACCAGAGTTTGTGATTACATAACGAAACCATATCAGATTTGTGTTACTACACGGAAGGAACAATTGGAGCTTTATCCGACAATAAATCAACACAATTTAAGACAACCAATCACATATGGCTGCAACTATAATAGGCATGAAGCAAACCCTAACCCAAAATTCTATCAGTTTTCTTTTGGACTTTTCTATTTTGAAAGCATCTCCTTTTTTGATGGGGTTTTTGTGTTTTGGAATTGTCTTTTTTGGATTTTTCTGTTTTTTCTATGCAACTTGAGTTTGTGAGCCACTAAAAAAAGTGTATTATTTATGAGGAAAGATAAAATGATAAATGTGGATCTGAGTTACCAATTTTCAGAATATAAGAGAATAATTTTCTCATCTAACCTTAGCTAAAATTTAATTTGAAATAATTTTTATCCTTATCAAAGCCATTTTTCCCAAAAGGCTCACAGACAAAAAAAATAAAATCACTTAACATATGTTTATTAAATCATGCATTATGCATATTTGTGGATACAGTTGTAGGGATCTTTATAACAAGTTTCTTAATCTCAAAGCATGCATAACATAGAAGGGTAATTTAACTTGCAGTTGATGAAGAGAACTTTGCATTCCAATACTTTTCAATATCTTCTGCACTTCTTCCAGGTATTCTTCCAGCAATCAGATGCCATCTACAAAACACACAATATAATTGTCAACACCACCGCAACCACATACATATATAAACAAAAACTTGACATATATGCTATAACAAAGTTAACCTTTTTCCAACCAATCTAAACATTTTTGCAACTATATCTTCTTCTTCCGGGGAGAGTTCCGGCCGAGTCTCGTGTTTCATTTGATCTGAGACAAGAAGCAGAAACAAAATATAGATTCATATCATTTAGGAAGGCTGAACAATTGTTTGCAACATAGAAAAAAACATATAATAGTTATATATATGAAGGTTGTTCAACTTGAAGTGGTACCTGTATAGCCATACTGGCCATTGTTTGCAGTGGTTGCATACTTTGAGTCACTCATATTTTCGGTTCTAAAAGGATAACTTTAACTCAGTTTATGTGTGCTGGAACTCGTATTGAGATAACCATATATATATACACTAGGGAGGACATAGCCTTGATATGCATAAAACATATAAAGGGACAAAAACGTACCTGTTAACTATCACTGTGCATGTGTATCTAAATTAGTCATATATGGATTCTATTTGAATACTAAAGAAAATTAAATTTTTTTATATTATTTTTGAGTATTTTTTCAAATTAAAATTTGTATTTATAAAAGTTGAAAGAAGGTAAAAAATGTTTTTCGTTTGACAGAAGAATTATTTATACACTACATAGATTGTATTATTTCTTATTAACAATTCATTTATTAGTATAGTATTATTAGTTTCTATATTATAATGATTTTTGTATCTTGGTGGCCAAAACATCATTGTATATATGTGTACATTGTCATCTTATAAAATACACAATCAGTTTATACAAATTATATAATATCTAACTTGGCATTAGAGCAACATTGCTATTGCTTGAAGGTTTCGATCCAATATCTTGATCATGACATCCACTACAAAAACAAAGAAAGGTGATCTTGGATCAATGTTTGTGTCAAGCTAGACATAGACAATTACCTTTTGTGGATATCTTTGGTCTTGCCTATAACCACATGTTGCAAACTTGATGGATATATGATAGGGGAAAGGTGTGTCCTAATAAATTCATCACAGATGAGAACTCAAGCAAAATACATTCACAATCATATGAATACCGACCGTGGTTATATGATTTAAACTTTTTTAATATAACTTTTTAATTTTACATTATTGCCAAATTTGTAACTTGTATTTATTTGAATCGTGAATAGAGCCGAAACAAAAACATAAACTATTTGTGTACCACACATATAATTGATAATTAAAACGACTCAAAAATTGTATTACATTAAAATTAAAATTTGTAATAAAAAGTAAAAATTGTATATTACATCAAAATCAAAATGGTAGAAAACAACATACAATTCACCTATCATTACATCAAATACTATCTTCAATATGAGGTACATGCCTTATCTTTTGGTGTTTTTACTTTAAACACCTATAATTTCAAATAATAATACTTATTATTAAGTAACCTTAGAAATTATAACATATAATAAATTATAAATAAACAATAAAAAAATATTTATTTGTTAATTTTCTCATATGTCTTCTTCATAAACATTACGAATACAGTAGAAACTCTTTAAATTAATAATGTCAAGACCGGAGAAATTTATTAATTTAGAGAGTTATTAATTTATCGATAAATTAATAATTATTAATTTAAAGAGTATTTAAGTAATTATACTGTACATACCAAACAAAAAGGCAAATTAACCTATACCTCTTAGAATTACGTTGCAGCGAATCTTGGGACTCAACGTAAATTAGTAACTATTGTGTTCATATGCATTGGAAATCAATAATGACTTTTGAAGTACAGTAAATGTAAACAAGAGGAACAAATGTATTCAATGTATTCTTAAGCAAGTTTGTCATATATAAATTACATGAATGTGTTAGAGTATTCAAACCATATCTCACAAAATGGCTTCTCATCTAAAAGGTGTTGCAAAATCAACTATGTCAGATCAAATACGTAAGGAGTTGTGTGAGTACAAGAGAGATAATCCTGCAAGGACACAAAAAGACTTGCAGAGATGGCTTGAGGAAAAATTTCAGTTGAAAGTGTTATATATAAATTACATGAATATTCAAACCATATCTCATAAAATGGCTTCTCATCTAAAAGGTGTTGCAAAATCAACTATGTCAGATCAAATCCGTAAGGAGTTGTGTGAGTACAAGAGAGATAATCCTGCAAGCACACAAAAAGACTTGCAGAGATGGCTTGAGGGAAAATTTCAGTTGAAAGTTAATCAAGGAACAATATCAAACACACTTAAACGGTCAGATGACTATCTTTCTGCTGAAATAGAAAAGGGAAGAGCAGATATCAAAAGACACAAACCAACAAAATATCCTGACATGGAGAAGGTTGTTTATGAGTGGTTTCTCCAGCATCAATAACGTGTGAATATCACAGGAGAATTAATTTTGCAGAAGGCAAGAGATACAATGAAACTCGTGTACCCTCATGATGATTCAAATTTTAACTTTTCTATAGGATGGCTTGGGAAATTCAATAACCGACATGGCATAAAGTCATTTCGTCGTTTTGGCGAGAGTGGGTATGTTGATGTACAAGACATGGAGCAGAAATTGGTATCGATTCGGGAGAAAATTGATCAGTTCCCTATGAAAGATATTTTTAATATGGATAAAACTAGGTTGTTTTATAGGCTACAAGTTGATCATTCACTGGCAACAAAACAACTTGAAGAAAGAAAACAAGATAAAGAAAGGTTGACGGTAGTTATTTGTTGCAATGAAGATGGCTCTGAAAAAATCCCTCTATGGATTATTGGGAAATATGCAAAGCCTCATTGCTTCAAGAATGTCAACATGAATAGCTTGGATTGTTAGTATCGAGCTAACAAAAAAGTATGGATGACTAGTGTGCTTTTTGATGAATATGTTCATTCATTTGACCAAATGATGCATGGTAGAAGAGTTCTACTTATGGTGGATAATTGTCCAGCACATCCAAGAAATATTGAAGGGCTAAGAAACGTTGAGTTGTTCTTCTTGCCACCCAACATAACATCAAAGATTCAACCTTGCGATGCTGGGATAATAAGAGCTTTTAAGATGCATTACCGTAGAAGGTTTTACCGCAAAATATTGGAAGGTTATGAGGTGGGACAATCTGATACAGGGAAGATAAATGTCCTTGATGCTATCAAATTGACAATCCCAACTTGGACGATAGATGTTTGAAAAGAAACAATAGCGAATTACTTCCGACATTGTAAAATGTGTTCCACTTTTCATGAAGAAACTTAAGACCTCGAGACTATGATCAATCAATGTGGCTATCTTAATAAGATGGATATCGACAATCTAATGAACTACCCAAGTGAAAATGAAGCATGTTCATAGGTTCAGAGTTTAGAAGATATTGTGGGTACTATCACTAAGAACAATGCAGAGGATGACAACAAAGATGATACGGTGTCTTTGGAGCCAGTTACGCGAAAGGAAGCACTTATGGCGTCAAACATTCTTCACAACTCTATGATACAATACAAAAATACAACACCTGAGCTATTGGATGCAATAAGAAAATTTAGATATGAGTTTCAAATAGACTTGAACTTTAAAGGAAAGCAGACAACTATTGAATCATATTTCAATAGAGTGTAATATATTTTTTTCAGTTTCTATGAATTATTAATTTATGATTTTCTTGGGACCGAAAATTATAAAGGGATCTTCCAAAAAATTATTATCTTATTATTTTATCCCGTTTTTTAATTTTTTACATTGGCCCAAATCGGGACCGGACAAATTTATTATTTTAGAGAGTTTATTAATTTATCGAATATTAATTTAAAGAGTTTCTACCGTAGTATGCACATAATTTCTACCAACTCCTTCATATGAAGTAGGCACTTGTTTTGCGTAAGAAGAAGTTGAAGTAATATAAAAGCTTAAATCATATTTTCATCACTATGAGGAATGTGTTTTTCTTGAAGAACAAGTGGCCATCTTTTTTCAAAAGGGTCAGTCACATAAAACACTTGTTTTGTTTGGGTAGCCATGACAAATGGTTTGGTCTTATAAGTTGTCAAGCCAAGGTCAACCTGTGTGAATCCTAACTCATCAGTTTCTACACAAATGTTATTTCCAATCCACTTGTATTTATATAAAGGCACTTTGGATAAAATATAGACATCTTTCAACTCTCCTCAATGACCCCAAAGTAAGCTCTAGATGTCAATACATGATTCTTATCTTTCGAACTAGAGAAATACATGAATTTGACCTCAATCATAACTCCACTATTTTGCATTGAACTACGTTCATCTTTTGATTTTTTATAAAAATAAAAATTACTAATGCCGTATGCAGTCCAAGTTACTACATTAAATTTTGGCAAGTAAGTCAACCACATAGTTGTCTCGAATGCACTATCATCATTAGAAATATTTCATTAAACCAACTTATGAAATTATTGTTATGCTCTTTCAACAACCACTTGTCACTCATTTAAGGATATTTTTCCTTGATAACTCTTTTGTGAGTAGATAAGTAAGGTTCAAATTCGTCAACATTATTCAAAATATACAAATGTTCTTGAAAATTTATATCTCGAGGCATTGAAATAACATTTAAACCTTGAGTACCTCTGCCTCAATACTTTTCAACATGATAAGACTTTTCAATTCCTATAGACTCAGCTTCCAACAAATAGTTTGAACATAACTCAATGGCTTCTTCTATGATGTACCTTTTAACGATCGAAGATTTTGTTCGAAGATGATTCTTCATATATCCTTTAAAGATCTTCATGTAAGGCTCTATTGAATACATCCACCTTAAATAAATTTGACCACAAAATCTGATTTCTATTACTAGATGAACAATTAAGTGAACCATAATGTCAAAAAATAATAGAGGAAAATACATCTCCAATTGACACAAGATTATCGCAACCTTGACATATGAACTTTTAAGGTGCCTTCAAGTGCATTTTTTGAGAATCTCTCATGCTTCTTTAGCTTTTGAACATGTGTTGATCAACTTGAACATTTTCTTGTCCACGATATTAAGAAAAGCATTTAAAACCTTGGAGTTTCCAAGGGTTTCCTCATCTTCAGCATCACTCCACTCAACTTTTGGTTTTAAGCTAGTAGATTCATCTTCAGAAGTAATCACTGGATGTTTCCATCCTCTTACCATATCTTTCCATGCTTTGTTACCAATGGATTTTAGAAAGACCACCATCATAGCCTTCCAATAATCATAATTTGTGCCACCTAAAACAGGTGGTTTGTTGACTGATCCTCCATCTTTAATTGTGTCCATTTGAGAAGAATTTATCTTCACTAGAGCATACTCAACAGGCTAGGGA